ATGATCAAAACCAAAAATGCTTTAAATTGCATTTTAAAACTTATCTAGGTATTTTAAATGATAAAGAATGCTAATATAGATATAAAATCGATATTTTTTTGAAAATAGCCTACTATGATTGAAATCAAAAATGCTTTAAATTGCATTTCAAAACTTATCTACGTATTTTAAATGATGAAGAATGCTAATATAGATATAAAATCGATATTTTTTTGAAAAGAGCATACTATGATCAAAACCAAAAATGCTTTAAATTGCATTTTAAAACTTATCTAGGTATTTTAAATGATAAAGAATGCTAATATAGATATAAAATCGATATTTTTTTGAAAATAGCCTACTATGATTGAAACCAAAAATGCTTTAAATTGCATTTTTAAACATATCTAAGTATTATAAATGATAATGAATGCTTATATAGATATAAAATCGATATTTTTTTGAAAATAGCCTACTATGATTGAAACCAAAAATGCTTTAAATTGCATTTTAAAACATATCTAAGTATTATAAATGATAAAGAATACTAATATAAATATAAAATCTATATTTTTTTGAAAATAGCCTACTATGATTGAAATCAAAAATGCTTTAAATTGCATATCAAAACTTATCTAGGTATTTTAAATGATAAAGAATGCTAATATAGATATAAAATCGATATTTTTTTGAAAATAGCCTACTATGATTGAAACCAAAAATGCTTTAAATTGCATTTTTAAACATATCTAAGTATTATAAATGATAAAGAATACTAATATAAATATAAAATCTATATTTTTTTGAAAATAGCCTACTATGATTGAAACCAAAAATGCTTTAAATTGCATTTTTAAACATATCTAAGTATTATAAATGATAATGAATGCTTATATAGATATAAAATCGATATTTTTTTGAAAATAGCCTACTATGATTGAAACCAAAAATGCTTTAAATTGCATTTTAAAACATATTTAGGTATTTTAAATGATAAAGAATGCTAATATAGATATAAAATCGATATTTTTTTGAAAAAAACCTACTATGATCAAAACCAAAAATGCTTTAAATTGCATTTCAAAACTTATCTAGGTATTTTAAATGATAAAGAATGCTAATATAGATATAAAATCGATATTTTTTTGAAAATAGCCTGCTATGATTGAAACCAAAAATGCTTTAAATTGCATTTTTAAACATATCTAAGTATTATAAATGATAAAGAATGCTAATATAGATATAAAATCGATATTTTTTTGAAAATAGCCTACTATGATTGAAACCAAAAATGCTTTAAATTGCATTTTAAAACATATTTAGGTATTTTAAATGATAAAGAATGCTAATATAGATATAAAATCGATATTTTTTTGAAAAAAACCTACTATGATTAAAATCAAAAATTCTTTAAATTGCATTTTAAAACTTATCTAGGTATTATAAATGTTAAAAAATGCTAATATAGAAATAAAATCGATATTTTTTCGAAAAAAGCCTACTATGATCAAAACCAAAAATGCTTTAAATTGCATTTTAAAACATATCTAAGTATTATAAATAATAAAGAATGCTAATATAGATATAAAATCGATTTTTTTTTGAAAATAGCCTACTATTATTGAAACCAAAAATGCTTTAAATTGCATTTTAAAACTTATCTAGGTATTTTAAATGATAAAGAATGCTAATATAGATATAAAATCGATATTTTTTTGAAAATAGCCTACTATGATCAAAACCAAAAATGCTTTAAATTGCATTTTAAAACATATCTAGATATTTTAATTGATAAAGAATCCTAATATAGATATAAAATTGATATTTTTTTGAAAATAGCCTACTATGATTGAAATCAAAAATGCTATAAATTGCATTTTAAAACTTATCTAGATATTATAAATGATAAAAAATGCTAATATAAATATAAAATCGATATTTTTTTGAAAATAGCCTACTATGATTGAAATCAAAAATGCTTTAAATTGCATTTCAAAACTTATCTAGGTATTTTAAATGATAAAGAATGCTAATATAGATATAAAATCGATATTTTTTTGAAAATAGCCTTCTATGATTGAAACCAAAAATGCTTTAAATTGCATTTTAAAACATATCTAAGTATTATAAATGATAAAGAATGCTAATATAAATATAAAATCGATTTTTTTTTTGAAAATAGCCTACTATGATTGAAACCAAAAATGCTTTAAATTGCATTTTAAAACATATCTATGTATTATAAATGATAAAGAATGCTAATATAGATATAAAATCGATATTTTTTTGAAAATAGCCTACTATGATTGAAACCAAAAATGCTTTAAATTGCATTTTAAAACATATTTATGTATTATAAATGATAAAGAATGCTAATATAGATATAAAATCGATATTTTTTTGAAAATAGCCTACTATGATTGAAATCAAAAATGCTTTAAATTGCATTATAAAACTTATCTAGGTATTTTAAATGATAAAGAATACTAATATAGATATAAAATCGATATTTTTTTTAAAATAGCCTGCTATGATTGAAATCAAAAATTCTTTAAGTTGCATTATAAAACTTATCTAGGTATTTTAAATGATAAAGAATGCTAATATAGATATAAAATCGATATTTTTTTGAAAATAGCCTACTATGATTGAAACCAAAAATGCTTTAAATTGCATTTTAAAACATATTTAGGTATTTTAAATGATAAAGAATGCTAATATAGATATAAAATCGATATTTTTTTGAAAAAAACCTACTATGATTAAAATCAAAAATTCTTTAAATTGCATTTTAAAACTTATCTAGGTATTATAAATGTTAAAAAATGCTAATATAGATATAAAATCGATATTTTTTTGAAAATAGCCTACTATGATTGAAACCAAAAATGCTTTAAATTGCATTTTAAAACATATCTATGTATTATAAATGATAAAGAATGCTAATATAGATATAAAATCGATATTTTTTTGAAAATAGCCTACTATGATTGAAATCAAAAATGCTTTAAATTGCATTATAAAACTTATCTAGGTATTTTAAATGATAAAGAATACTAATATAGATATAAAATCGATATTTTTTTTAAAATAGCCTGCTATGATTGAAATCAAAAATTCTTTAAGTTGCATTATAAAACTTATCTAGGTATTTTAAATGATAAAGAATGCTAATATAGATATAAAATCGATATTTTTTTGAAAATAGCCTACTATGATTGAAACCAAAAATGCTTTAAATTGCATTTTAAAACATATTTAGGTATTTTAAATGATAAAGAATGCTAATATAGATATAAAATCGATATTTTTTTGAAAATAGCCTACTATGATCAAAACCAAAAATGCTTTAAATTGCATTTTAAAACATATCTAGATATTTTAATTGATAAAGAATCCTAATATAGATATAAAATTGATATTTTTTTGAAAATAGCCTACTATGATTGAAATCAAAAATGCTATAAATTGCATTTTAAAACTTATCTAGATATTATAAATGATAAAAAATGCTAATATAAATATAAAATCGATATTTTTTTGAAAATAGCCTACTATGATTGAAATCAAAAATGCTTTAAATTGCATTTCAAAACTTATCTAGGTATTTTAAATGATAAAGAATGCTAATATAGATATAAAATCGATATTTTTTTGAAAATAGCCTTCTATGATTGAAACCAAAAATGCTTTAAATTGCATTTTAAAACATATCTAAGTATTATAAATGATAAAGAATGCTAATATAAATATAAAATCGATTTTTTTTTTGAAAATAGCCTACTATGATTGAAACCAAAAATGCTTTAAATTGCATTTTAAAACATATCTATGTATTATAAATGATAAAGAATGCTAATATAGATATAAAATCGATATTTTTTTGAAAATAGCCTACTATGATTGAAATCAAAAATGCTTTAAATTGCATTATAAAACTTATCTAGGTATTTTAAATGATAAAGAATACTAATATAGATATAAAATCGATATTTTTTTTAAAATAGCCTGCTATGATTGAAATCAAAAATTCTTTAAGTTGCATTATAAAACTTATCTAGGTATTTTAAATGATAAAGAATGCTAATATAGATATAAAATCGATATTTTTTTGAAAATAGCCTCCTATGATTGAAACCAAAAATGCTTTAAATTGCATTTTAAAACATATCTAAGTATTATAAATGATAAAGAATACTAATATAAATATAAAATCGATATTTTTTTGAAAATAGCCTACTATGATTGAAACCAAAAATGCTTTAAATTGCATTTTAAAACATATCTAGGTATTTTAAATGATAAAGAATGCTAATATAGATATAAAATCGACATTTTTTGAAAATAGCCTACTATGATTGAAATCAAAAATGCTTTAAATTGCATTATAAAACTTATCTAGGTATTTTAAATGATAAAGAATGCTAATACAGATATAAAATCGATATTTTTTTGAAAGGAAAAAAGTGCTGGTAAGATGATCACTTGATTATATTTAAATTAACAATTTTCTTTAATCCTAAACAGGATTTTATACATGTTGATTTTGTAGATCTGATAATATTGGGAATATATTTCGTAGGGCGATGGTGGATTTTGAAACATGGAGCTTTAAACTTTGCCAAATGAGCTATAAGCCAACTGAAAATTAAAACATGTCCATGTTAAAAAAAGTTGTCCTTCAAAATGTTTTTAAAAATAAGTCAACAACAAATTAACATATTAATACCTAATGCAACAATTTACATTCAATTATGACTCTTAACAAGCCATCAACAAGTCATCTAAAACTAGGGCTTCCGATTTTTTTTTTCTCTTTGATTCTATTGAGGCTGAATAATTTATGAAGATTAAAAAAATTTCACTCCAAATTCTATATTACGATTGAACTACGAGCTCACAATGCACTGAGTCAATTCATTTCCATAAAAGTTGTCTCAATCACCGAAATTGATCCGCGCAAAATCCAAAATGTTCTCATTTCTGCTTAAAAGCAAATGCCTTGCTCATTTCTTTCTCAGTTAACTTGAAACAAGCCAGTAGCTACCAGCAGTTCCAAGAGACTCCCGACCTTTTTGTGAATCAATTTTATCATGAAAGACTGTAGAGAGAATCTGATGTTAACAGTTTTTTGCATTTTGATTCTGGCACCGACTTTATTTGCACAGCAAGGAGACTCTTCATGGCAGCCAAAAGGTACGTTTTCACAGTGGAAGTCTTGTGATAATTAGACTAGGAACCTTACGATAGTCAGTTTTGTGTTCGAACTGAATCAGAAATCTAACCACAGACACTTAGCATGGAGTTTAAAAGTGAACAATTTAATGTTAATAACTATTTTTGTCTTTCCAGTTGGATGTCATCTTGTTGGATTTACCCGAAAAGTAACGATTCCGGATTGTATTGAGTTTCCATTGACGACAAATGCTTGTCGTGGGTTTTGTGAAAGTTTTGCAGTTTCAAGTAATTTTGCTATTGGACCTCATCGTCCTGATCAACCAGTAAGAAAATAAGTAATAATCAGTGGCATAGCTAAGGATGTCAATATTTAAATGCCAGACACCAAAAAACCCTTGCTGTGCTGCTGGAACCAACCTTGAAAATTCTAATTATTTTAAATTTCCTACAGATAACATCCGTCGGTCAGTGCTGTAACATCATGGAAAGTGAGGATATTAAAGTGAAAGTTCGATGTTTGGAAGGCGTTCGTGAAGTGACATTCAAGTCTGCAACTGGGTGTAGTTGCTTCCATTGTAAAAAATCTTAACTTTTTTTGGACCAAATTTTTCATCGAAATATGCGACAAGAGCTTTTATAGGACTAAATCTTTGCACTATTAATCGTGTGACTACTTCCTGTACATAGAGATTATAGCTTAAATTTTTGCTACATCTTAGAGATTTTTCAAAAAAAAAAAAGAACCTGATGAATATTACCTTATTAAATATATTTAAATTGATGTTTGTTGTACTTTTCTCATCTTAATTCGATTTATACAATTTTTAACAAAAACTAATCTTAAATAAAAAGAGTTGAGACATCAAAAAGGGACACAAAAAGTTGACATGTCTATTCTATTTCATAGTGTTTCAATATGTTTCATTAATTCAATATTCAGTCTTTATTCAAGTTCAATAAACAAGAGTAAGTCATTAATTAACCAATTTTTTTGTAGGCTATATTTACTGCTTAACGTACTGTCATCTGGAAAACAAATCAATTCAAACTAAAGTATTCTTACGAAAAAATTTTTGTCGTCATCAACAGCTGTTTTTCTAGAAAATAAACTAAATAAGAACTCATGAAATTGACACAATGCAAGCTAATGAATATTTTTTCAAGGAAATTGTTAAAGCTACTTGAAAAATTTCATGGATTAGTTGAGCGTTTGCCAAGGCGTGGAAACTATCCTAAATATCATATTTATCCGGCATATCCCAAAAACATTCAAAATAATCTCTGAGCCTGCATGCATTAGAATTGAGATATCCCATCAAATCCTGAAATTACACGTCCAATACACTAAGGATACGTTGGGATATCTTTATTATCGTGCATACATGCTCAGGAATTTTTTGAGTATTTTTGGGATATGCCGGATAAATATGATATTTGGGATAGTTTCCACGCCTTGGTGTTTGCTTTGAAAATGTTGTAACGTTGCAAATGATTTTCAACTTTTGAAACAATGGATTTTCGGAATGGATATTTTAATTAAAGCAGGTGAATTAAAGTCACTAAATTTACCGTAGTCCGACAGCATCTAACCGTGGTATTTAAAGTAAGCACTTAGCATGATCCTTTAAAGTGCATCGGGAGTAAGGTTTGGGGAACCTGTTAACAAAAAACAGAAAAAACAGCTGTTTTTAAAAATCAAAAACCGAAAGCAGACTGTTTTTCAAAAACAGCTGTTTTCCACAAAACCCTAATCGGAACAAGTTGAACGAAAGCAGTTACTGGTCTGGAAATTATCGAGTCAGCTAAAACAGAAAATTTAAAAACCTTTGAACTAAGCACAGCGAATAGTAATTTTAGATGATTCATGTCTGTTTATCAAATGTGCATCCATATTTCGTCAATAAAATTGTAAAGCTTTTGAATGATCTTTTGGAATAGGAAAACATCGTTGTCCACAGAGAATCTAAAACACTTTCTATGAATGAATTGGATAGAAGCTATTTTTATCAACCACGAAAATATTCTTGACTAAAAATTGTAACCCTTTCCACGAAGAAAAAAAGGTGTATCAACAGGTAGCAGTCATTCATAAAATCGTCACACGTCAATAAATTTTTCAATGGCACTTTAAGATGTTCCTTTGGGAAATTTATCTGAAAATGTTTGGTTCGTGAATTTTCTACGCCTTTATTTTTTTTTTTTTAATTTTCAGGAATGGATTTAATGCGATTCATAATTTATTTATTCGTTATACTTTTCTCATCATCATAACTAATTTTTAAGGTATAAACTTTACAATATTATCTGTAACTTTATAATACACATTTTCCATCTGATGATCAGAGGACTAAGGATGTCATTAGATAGAAAATTTGTGACAAGAGTTATTTCTCAACTTGCAATTGATAATCATTATCAGAGTCATCAACATTTGGTCCAATAAGCCTCACAACGGAACTTTTATGTAGCGCTTGCGGTGATTCACAACTTGTATTAATTGATGAGCAAATTTGACAACTGCAAGCAACTGGTTCTAAATATTCATATCGTCTTGCTTCAATGCCTGCATCAGGATCACAATTTTCAAGAATTGCAACAACTTTTTTAAGTTCCTTTGGCACACAAACTGGATGATGTGATTTCTTAAATGGAAACTTCCAATCACTAATTTCTTTACTATCACATCTGCCCCAGCATGCATTCACATTAATCCTATCCGAGCATGATAATCCTTTTGCGTCTGTCTGCGTGATTAAATAGGTGAAGAGGCGTTTATGGCATCCAATTGGTGCTTTTGATGGACCTTCCACAACTGCTGGCATAAACTCAGCACAAATACATGCAGTAATCAAAATTGGAAACAAAACAAGAAGGGGAGATCTGTGGATGAAAAGTGGAACTTTATTTTTTGTTTAATACTTCATGGGTATCGTTCACAAATGATGTCTGATTTGGAGGATCCATTTTAGATGGATATTCTATCCTAGATATCAATGTGCGTGATTTATGAATGGTCCCCCATTTTGTTTATTAATGGAATATATGCAAACATTGTAGCAATTTTTTATGGGATGCAATGGTAAGAGAAGATCAACTTTATTTAGGAATGGAACTAAGATTCTTGACTCAATGATTTTTTTTATGAAGTTATGAGCTCTGATTCAACTCTGTTGGCTATCCATTCTGCCACAACGTCTTAACTCTTACTGTATCAAATTTGTCCACAATTGTCTCTATACGTTCGAGATTCGAAACCAAAATAAACACTCAACTTACACATGATTCCCCATATTTGTGAGAAAATTAGAAGTAATAGGCACAAGAGACCCAACTAAAGACGATGATAGCACGAAAAACTCTGAAGGATATTCGATCAACATGATGGTTTTTATAAGAATTACTGGTTCTTCATCGACAATCAATGCGCATGTCTTGTGTTACACTTCCTCTCGTCTTCAAGCGCTCTTTCTTAGTGTCTTCAAATTTATTTTGAATAATTCAGCAATGAAATTGTAATAAAATTTTAATAACTGTTGATGATAATGATTATTTACTTATTATTTTTGAGGCACAAGTCACTGAAAAATCAACTTGACGTCATCATTGTGATACAAAGTTAAGCATTTATAGATGCATAAATTAACAGTTTATATAGTAATTTCTAAGAATAAACATGTCCAGTCTTTGATTGTCATCATGGAATTTATGCTTGATATTTTTAGAACCTCGTTCCATGGAAATAAAATGGAATGGACTAGAAAATGTGGACAAATAAATAAATCAACAGGTTAGCAGGTTTTTAATCGGAACTTTTGGGTTTGAATATCTTTTGACTTAAATATTGGTTTCAAATCAATTAAAGTAGATTTAAATCTACTTTATGATATTCCTTAGAATAAACCTTAAAACAAACGCACAGATACCCACATGTACCAAAAATTACCAGAGCTCGAAATCGACTCAAGATTTTCATCGATTTTGTATGGCGAAGTTGACTCCGAGTCGACTCGACTCCATACAAAATTTCATCGACTTCGAGCTCTGAAAATTACCTTGTTTATTTCCAAGAATTTCAAAAGAGCTGCACGTGTTTCGAAAAAATCTCTTTAAAATGTTGAAATGAAAAGAAATGAAGCAATGACAATCATGACTGACAGTCTGGTACATAAAACAAAGAACAGATGACAAGGAGTAGTGAATTGACAAAACAAAATTGTATTGAAAGCTGCTCAATTGGTTGTAATGCGTCTAAAATTATTGTTTTGCATGAAACAGAAATAGATTTTTGGGAGTCAAAATAGATATTGAGACGTAATGAATTCTTGAAAGTGTTTTAAGTCCTCGAATCATTTATTCAGACCCAAAGCATCTTGCGGTCTAGTCTTTTACAAACGTATTCATTCCTTATTGCACTACATTCAGAAACCGGTTTTAATAAAGATTCGAACTTCCCCTAAAATTATCATCTATTCTTAGCAGTAACCACTTAGGTCTCGTACCAGTTTATTCATTTTCTCGGCACAATGCGCCGGCAATTAAATGTTTAAGCTAAAACATGAACCTATCTCGTCATCGAGCACTACAATTTTAAAAATAAGATTCAAAACTTGAATTCAAACTCAGCACGATAAATCCTTATTACTTTTCTGAGTTCTCAGGCTCCAGCTCTAAGTATACATTAAGATAAACTCGAGAATCAGTCCCCTGCTTCCAGAAGAACCAAAAATAAACCTTCTTTCATTTACAGACAATAAAATTGGAAATCAGATGATGATTCTGATTTCAATTTTTCTTAAAGAACAACAAATATATTTGCTACTTGCTTAAAATTCTCAGTAGCTTCCAGTAAGAGTTTATCACACGAACCATCAATAATCAGCTCTTAATTGTGAATAAATTAAATTTTCAACAATTCTCAAATTTTTTTACAGATATCATTGATTTATTATCAAAATTGTTTTACAGTTCTATTTTCTATACACATCCTTTTTTAAACATCCCATACCCTTATTTATTTTCTCAAAAATTTTAAGTATCAATTACCAAATCATCTGAAGTTTCTCTATCGTGAAATCCAAATTAATAAGTGCTGTATCGTGTATTAATGGATAATGAATTTCCAATTTTATCAGAAGATGCAGAAATCAGCAGTGATGAAGAATCAGGAGCTCCAGCACATCCATGCATAAGTCGTGAAGCTATGCTTAAGATGTTTGAAATGCAACGAAATAATCAGTTGTGTGATGGAGTTATTCACTGTCTTTCTGATGATACATACTTTAATGTCCATCGAACCATTTTGTGTGGATGTAGTTCGTATTTTAAGTAAATACTCTACACACATGTATGCTATTTAAACTTTAAAACTAATCAATATAATTCCAGCTCAATGTTTAAAACACCTTTGCATCAAAACGAAAATACATTTGATATCATCGAAGTTCCATCTAATTTCATCGAGTGGATCATCAAGTTCGCTTATTTACGAGACACATCATTCATCGATGAGACAAATGCGAGTAGGATTTATGTGAATGCTGACTATTTTGGTGTTGTTGGTCTCATGAACGCATGCATAAATTTCATCATTAAGATACTCTCGCCGGTAAACTGTATTGGCTATTGGATTATGTCAAGGTACATATGTGAGAATCATGAAGCACAATTTTTTTATCTGCATATTCTTTACATAGAAATTACAGCATAAATCGATTATTAGAGAAGTCATGGAATTATATACAAGTGAATTTTGTTAGTATTGCATGCGTCAGCGAGGAGCTTCTAAAGTTGAATGTTGATGACTTTTTTGCAGTCATCAGTGACGAACTTTTGAATGCTAAGGTATGTTGGATGTGGAACTTTCAGAGTGGATTTTTCTAAAAGCTGCTGTTTCCTATTTGGTTTTGGAATTGACCAAATGAATGGCCGAGAAGCTAGACATTAGATTAATAATAATATAATCCTTTATTTAATTACATAATGGTAAGGCGGAACAAAAATAAGTTTGATATGATGTTAACCTTTTTGGTTTTAAATCACAGTTAAAATGAAAGGAATAGAATTAATAGCATGAAGTTAGATGGAAAGATGACTCCACATTAGATTAAATATCTGCAAAAGTTTCCCTTTTCTCACGAAGTGGGTTCGATTCCCACCAAAATTCGATCTTTCAATAATTGTAAAGATAAGCGTTGTCTTAAATTGCTAGGACTTAACAGTTCGAAATATATTTACTAATACTTTCCCAATCCATCTCCCAACTCTGTAGATCCAACAAAAAAAATACTACATCTTCTAAATGACAATATTTTATGATTTTCAGGATGAGCATGTTGTGTGGGAGGCTGCAATTCGATGGATTGACTTCGATCCCGAGAGTCGAGCTCAGCATCTGAAAAAATTGATGCACGGCGTACGATTAGGACTCTTATCCAATAGAGTGAGTATTTTTTATGGTAAAATATTTTTAGCAATCATGCATCACTAAACATTCAATTATTTCCAGTACTTTATGGAAAATGTCAAGGCAAACAAATACGTTGAGAATAACGAGGAAGTTCGTCCGATTGTTTTGGAAGCAATGAAATTTCTGTGTGATCTACAAAGTCTATCAGTTGCAAGTACTGAATTTATCACACCTTCTTTGGCAGTTCCACGCATTCCACATGACATTATATTTGCAATTGGGGGATGGAGTAATGGTGCAGCGCAAAGTGGCATAGAAACATATGATACAAGAGCTGATCGATGGATTAGAGTTCCTCCAATATATGAAGATCCAAAGGGTCCTAGAAGCTATCATGGAACTGCAGTTGTTGGAAATAAATTTTATATAATCGGTGGATTTAATGGAACTCATCAATTTAACACATGCACTGAATTTGATCCAGTCAAGAAATCATGGAGAGAAATAGCACCAATGCACAATCGTCGATGTTATGTATCTGTTACTGTCCTTGGTAAATTTGTGTATGCTTTGGGTGGATATAATGGAGAAATCAGGCTAAATACAGTCGAGCGATACTGCTTAAGGACCAATCAATGGAGTTATGTAGCACCGATGCATCATCGTCGATCTGATGCCAGTGCATGCACAATAAATGGCAAAATTTACATGACTGGTGGATTTAATGGGCGTGAGTGTCTTAATACTGCAGAATACTATGATCCTGAAACTAACACTTGGACATTATTACCTCCAATGTTTACTCGTCGTTCTGGTGTCTCTTGTGTCGTATTAAGGAACTTCATTTACGTCATTGGAGGTTTTGATGGCTCATCAAGATTAAGTACAGGTGAAAGATACGATTTATCAACAAATACTTGGTCACCAATTCGCGAAATGAACAGTCCACGCAGCAATTTTGGACTTGAAGTAATCGACGACTTAATAATGGCTGTTGGCGGATTCAACGGTGTAGTCACTATTTCAAATTGTGAATGCTATGTACCTGAAAGTGATGAATGGCTAGAAGCAACAGACATGAAAATGGTTCGATCAGCACTAACGGCAAATATTGTTTATGGACTTCCAAATCTCCGGGATTATATCCATCAAAATCGTCATCAATTAATTGAAGAGAAACGGATCAGAATGATTGAAAATAATGCATCCTCAAATATAAGCTTCAGCTTTGATTCTATCAGCAGTAATATCACTGCATCAGTTGAATCTATTCCATTAGAAGCTGATCCTGTTGAGGAAGAGTCTGAAAATGAAAATGATGGTTTTGATGAGGCTGAATAAAATTTATATTTTTCTATTTTTGGATATAACTTTATTGTTTTATTGCAGTTTAGTGTCAATGCCTTGATAAATACTTTTTTAAGAACTTTCATTTAATACAGCTTCGTCCCTCTTCAATGCTATTTCCATTGCAAGTTTGCCTGATAAAATGCCATGTTTCTCCATCACATTCCACAAGCTTGCCATAAATGCAAAAAAGATTGTCATGCCAACAATTAAGAATTTAACGATGAAGTAAATCGTCTTAAAGCCATAGGCAGGGCTTATTTCTAGTATATTTATGAGAATTACTACTAGTCCAATTGCCATCATAGAATAACTTCGACGATGAGATTCTAATGCCTTTAAACTATTCTTGCATGTTGTTATGCACTCTTTGAGATTCTTGATGTTGTCTGTTAATGCTGTTCTGTCAAGTTCTCTTGATGATCTTTTTTCTTTTTTTCGGAATGAGATTCTCGTGTGAACAGCCTCATGATCAGAATAGCTAATATTATGTTCTGGAATCATGTCAAGTAATGGAAGATTGTATTCTTCAACTTCACAGTCATAGTCACTTCCACTTCTGTATAACACATAATCAATACGAATTCCATCTTTGCCATTGACTACTTCCTTTGGTGTGTATGTATTATTTTTATATTCATGTGTAGCAAAGAAGCTTGATCGCTTTTGTTCATATGCATCCTTCATTCCGGCTGTCGAAAGCAATACACGATAAGCTAAATCTTGTGGTTCTGTATTTAAGTCTCCAGCAAGTATCTGAAGACTGCATTCACCGCGAGTTGTCTCAAGAAATTGAGCAGTATCAAAAGCTTGTATAATACGATGAGTCATGTAGTCATCACATTTCTTTGAATATTCAGCATGTAGATGAGATATATAGAAATTTATGATTTGATCTTGAACCTTAATTTTGCACATTCCAACGCCTTTTCCTCCAAACCAATCACCATGCTGTATTTTGTGAACATATCCATTAACTGCCCAGTGATGAAAGAATGCTGATAAAATTTGATGTTTTGAGAAAATGCATAAGCCACTTCCAACCACTCCAGAATAAAAGTAATGAGAAAATGGAAATCTTTCAGCGACTCTATTTCTTATCTTGTTATAGTCATACTCGCTCCAGACTTCTTGTAATGAGATTATGTCATAATCACTATTTGCGAAATGATCAGAAATGGCATGAACTCGAATGTCCTTAAGATAGAAAGGAAATATAAATTATTATTGATATGATATGAACCGATGACTAATGGGTCATGTATTTGCATTTGGGGGGGGGGGGGTCAATCTCATTCATGGATAAATTCTGAACCATCTGCTGACCCACCTTACACTCCAAACCTTTATTAATATGCACAAGACTTTCTAAAGAATCTTAGTTCCAACAATTGTCGGTATAGAAAAATCGATAATATTGGAAAAATTAAAATTACCTTATCTTTGGATATGAATGGGATCCCCCAAATGTTTAATGTCAATATTGATAGTGTCAAAACCATTTTATGCAATAATGTCAATTAAACCAGGTGAAATAAATGATTTAAAAAATAAAACATTTAAAATAAAAAATTTTTCAACAAAGTAAACAAACGAATGTTGAAAGATTTTAAAAATAAATACTTCAGAATTTGAAAAACTCTAATAATTTGTGAAAAAAACTTTGAGATTTTATAACAATAATTCAGGTAAGCAGAATATGATCAAAAAAATTTATAAGACACTCTATAATTTGACAATTTTCATTGATAATTTTTTAAAATTTAAAATAAGTTTGTCTAACGGTTTTCAAAAATTCAATAGCTTTCTAGAGTTTCTTCCAAAATAAAACTTTTAAAGTTTATGTTTTTTTTTTCTATACTTGATGAGAATTTCGCTACAAAAAAAATAATATTTTCTAGAAAAGCCAGTTCCAAACAGCATAAATTATGTAGTGGAATGGAGAAATCGCTACAGGCAATAGATTTCAAACAAACAGCATGGAAGAGTTGTAATTATTGTAGTAATTACTTTTTTAAAACACCAAGAGAATTTATAAGGTGAGTTGGACAATTTTTCTCACATTACAAAATTTTTATGCCTATCACTTCCAAAAAAACTTGGCTGTTTAGTCACTCATCATAATTGATGATTGATAAGAAAGACAAATAATGTGATTAGTTTATTATAATGTTCTTATAAAATAAATAGTTCGTGTGTGCATGCATTTGTCTTCTTTTTCACACATTCCTCATCCTCTCTTCAAATTCATTTCTAGGCATCTTCGTGATAAACATTGTAGTGTTGAAGGAGGCTCATTTGTATGTCAATATGGGTACAATGGAGTTTGTTCCTCATTGCCACTTGATGGCGTTTCCGATGAAGATTATGAAGCTCATCTTGAAAAATATCACGTTAGTCAGTCAATGAAGGAGGTTGAAGATAAATGGAATATATTTTCTGCCGCTCAAAATCTCCCATCTGTACTTTATGATCCGGCAAAAGGACGTCAATCAAATATTTTTACGAAAAAATGGGGCGATAGCTTTACAGATAGACAACCAATTTTAGCCTCGCCACACCTACCAAAAATTGATTGGACTCACTTTGAGGTTTATTGTAGAAAAGTCGGTAAACGTTTTCGTAGACATACAAAAATTAATAGCACACAGCAACAACAGCAACAGATCCAAAATCACCAGAATCATAATCAGTCATTTCAATTAAGACAGCAAAATGATCACACACCAAGCTCATTATCACCTTCGTCGTCGATATCTAGTCTTCAAATTCTTGAAAATTCACATTTCCGAAATATTGATGAACGACTGCTCAACGAAGCAACAATTAGAGACATACCTCAAATATTCCTTAAACCCGATCTAGATTTTAGCAAGCCAGAAACATTTTCACTAGTCTTTCATGGACTCAATATAATTAATTCGGATGCAGAACATGAGGATTTGCAAGAGAAACTAAGTCACTATTTAGATATTGTTGAAATTCAAATAGCAAAGCAAGTATCGCAAAAATCGTCATCATTTTTTCATGCTATGACATCACAAGATGCGATAATGGAGGAAATGTCAAAAGCAACAGTAAATGTTAAGAAGTTAAGGGAGAAATTGAGGCATGTTGATGATACGCTCGTTCGGCAATCACTTAACATCATTAATTGTGAACGAGTCAAAACGAATAAGCAGATGGTCTTGGAGAAATTAAAATTAATGGCAACCGTTCATCAAACACAACCTATGATACAAGTCTTACTCGGTACACAGGATTATGTTGCAGCACTAGATTTAATTAGCACAACTCAAGAAATTCTTGCTCAAGAATTGTCAACAATTCATTGTTTTCGTCACTTACCACATGAGTTAAAAGAGCTTGAGAAAATTATCGATAAGATGTTAATGACGGAATTTGAAAAATATACAACGTCAGATCTGAACCGACCCCTCCTTGAAACAGATAGTCGCGTGCTGGATGAGGATAAACTTATATCGATAATTAGTGGATTGTTGCGGAAGAAAAATTTCTCATTTATTGATCTTTACAAAGATGAAGCGATAATGACAATAAGGGCATTAATAAAGCAACTTGTTATTGAAGTAATTGCAACGTCAGATGCCGAAATTTGCCTAACCGGTTCCGGTGAAGAGGCACAAAGTCTCTCGCTGCAAGAATGGATTTTATTATTAGATACAGCAACGATTTCCTTATTAAAATTATTAAAACGAATTCGATTAATTCATGATGTTATGCTTCATGTGACTGATTCAAGTGCTGGAAAGGGCATGGAAGAGGAACTAGCTTATTTAAATGATTCCGAGACATTTTTATCGATGACTGATCATAATTGTATTGAGACTAAGCTCACAAATATGTTGCAATCTGTTGGTAATTACTGTCATGAACGATGTGCAAATTTAGTGTCAAATCACAGTTTAGAGCAATATTCTGGATCGTTAGACGAGATGGAAAAACTATCGCAAATTGTCGAAGAATTTTGTAGTGGATGTGAAGAAGTAATTGGAATTAAATCGATTCCACTTATGACGGCACTTAAGGCACAAGGAAATCGATTTTCTCAAAAATTCCATGCCGAAAGAAAATCAAAATTAAATTTATTATTGGACAACGAACGATGGAAGTCAGCAGAAGTGCCGGGTGAAATTCAAAAAATGGTAAATCACATCGCTAAAGGTGATTTTATGTGGACGAAGCTGGATGATCATTTTAATGGTCCATCAATTGTGACACCAATGTTAATGGTCGATAATGAGCCTTACGCACTTGTTGGATCAGCTTTAATTCTCATAAAAATAGTCTCAGAATATTGTCGTTGTGCATCACATTTACCAATAATTGCATCTCAAATGAGTCGAAATGTTGTGGACCTGCTGAGGACATTCAACTCAAAATGTTGTCAACTTGTTTTAGGCGCCGGAGCTGTTCATGTTGCAGGATTAAAAATGATTACGATCAGTAATTTGGCACTTGTATCAAGAGCATTACAACTTGTTTTATGGCTCATGCCACATATTAAAAATCATTTCCTTAAACTTGATCAGAATGGAAGCAGCACAGGAAACTTGATGGGATGGACGACAGTTGAGAAGGATTTCATTAGTCACATAAAAGAAGTTGAGCTTAAAATGTTATCAATTGTAGGTCAGTTAGTAAATTCACAATTAAATAATTGGGAAGCACGTCCACCGATTCCATCGCAAAGCTTTCGAAATATCTCGAGACATTTTGTTAAACTTCATGAAGCAATCGCTCAAGTTTTACCGACTGAACAAATACACGGAGTTTTTAGGATCGTTCATAAAAATTTTAAGGATAAATTAAGAGAACAATTAGTGAGAAACAATATTGTTAATAACGGGACACCGCAACACGGCACAGTTATATCGGAATTAACATTTTATTTGGAGACCTTAAGGACACTTAAAGCAATGCCTGCAAATGAGTTGAGTGATGAGACAATGGAGGATATTTGGATTAAATTTTAATAATCTGACGTTTTTTATGACCCTTTTTAAAAACATTCCATAAAATTAATAACAATTAAACAGACAGCAGAATAATGATTATAGAAGTGAATGATGAAAAGTTTAGTGATATAAAAATCCGAAAATATATATTTTTGTCGTCGTTTCTTCTTCTTCAGTTGTGTTGTATAATTAATTAATTTATTATTCATATTTTTGTAGACGTTTTAAAATTCAATTTATGTGGAAAATGCTAAGCTTTTTATGAAATACAACTAGCTATTACTATTAGTGCCAAAGTGATTTTTATCTGGATTCTAATCCTTCTAATTATTAAATTATATTATTTTGTTATGCATGTTCACGCCGTGCTATTTGGATTAGTTTTTGAACTAAGAAAGACAAGTTAAAAGTGTTGGAATTCAGCAAAGCAAATTGAAAGCTTTTTGAGTTCATCAAGTCGTATTAAAAACTTTTTGAATTCGGCAAAGCAAATTGAAAGCTTTTTGAGATCAACGAGGCAAATTGAAAGCTTTTTGAACTTATCAAAGCAAATTCAAAACTTTTTGAATTCAGCAAAACAAATTGAAAGCTTTTTGAGTTCAGCGAGGCAAATTGAAAGCTTTTTGAACTCAGCGAGGCAAATTGAAAACTTTTTGAATTTAGCAAAGCAAATTGAAATCTTTTTGAGTTCAGGAAAGCAAATTGAAAGCTTTTTGAGTTCAGCGAGGCAAATCGAAAGCTTTTTGAATTCAAAAAAGCAAACTGAAAGCTTTTTGAACTTATCAAAGCAAATTCAAAACTTTTTGAATTCAGCAAAGCAAATTGAAAGCTTTTTGAGTTCAGCGAGGCAAATTGAAAGCTTTTTGAACTCAGCAAGGCAAATTGAAAACTTTTTGAATTCAGCAAAGCAAATTGAAAGCTTTTTGAGTTCAGCGAGGCGAATTGAAAACTTTTTGAATTCGGCAAAGCAAATTGAAAGCTTTTTGAGATCAACGAGGCAAATTGAAAGCTTTTTGAACTTATCAAAGTAAATTCAAATCTCTTTCAATCAAAATCAAGCAATTGTATTTATTACATCTTAAGTAATCAAAAACGCACGGTGTGAATAAGTCATAAAATCTAACCACCTTAAAATTTTTCAACATTTGATTTAATTTTTTTATTCTTCATCACGCTATAATGTTATATATTTAAACATACATGCTAGTTCAGTAATATTTCATTAATTTGCATACACGATAACAAATTAATTAGCACACACGCGCAGATTTTATCCCTTTCCCTTTTTAGCTATTTTTCTTAGCAATATTGTATTAAAAAATAAATTGAGTAGCACTTTTCGTTGTTAAATGATTAATTTTAAATAGTTATTAATCTATTAATTTATTTGATTTCACTGTATCAATAAATTAATTTATCATGTGCTTCTAACCATAATTATTATTTTTTTATGAAGCCTTGAACACTATCCGTCTTTTATATGATTAAGATTATTATAATTATTGGAAATATTTTGGTGCAATCACATAAAAAAGTATGAAAATTCACAAGATAAACAATGTAAATGGCTCTTTTGGATGATAAACTTATATTACAATGATTATACAAAATGATTGTATTGATATCAAAAAAATACAATTTGATGTTTTTTTTGCAAACAGAAATGAAAATTTCTCTGATGAAAACAGTTTAGCATAAATTATGAGAAATAATAAAGAAAAATTATTATTATGATTATGTATATCAATCAACACTAAGAAAACTGTGTCGTTGAACCTTTATTGTACGTCATTTTACCACATTTTATGGGGCTGGGAAATTTATTTATTCACTTTGTGCAAATTACGATTATGTCTTTTTGCTGTTTTGTGATTTATGATAATTTAAAAAATTGTTTATTAAATACTACTGAAGGTTTAAATGGAGGTTATTCGAGATTTTTGTGGTTCAAGGGTGAATATTAAGATTTATGAGAATATTCGATAGGTCAGGTGATGAAGTTTGAACCAAAAGTAAAGTTCTGATTATGTCTGTAAAACGATTTGGGTGGATTGGCGTCACTTCTCCCCATTCTATCATCTCTAAGTCGGTCTGGAATATCGATGTCTTTAAATAAATAAAGTAAATTAGCAAATCTTAATTAATTAATCCCATCTTTATATGGGGAGGGGGGGAGGGGGTGGAATTGGGTGACAAATCTCCCGACGTTAACAGAAATTTCTTCATTTTGAATGAAGATTATGAAAAGATCATAAAAATCCCCCCATTCCCTGAATTTTCCATATAAATTTTTTTGCCCCCCCCCCTCTTCAAATTCCTGGGTATGCCCCTGATACAGCTTCTTTCTGTGAGTTCTTCGATGACCTTTATCTTTATCATGATAAGATATGAAAAATGAAATGTGTAGAAATGAATAACATAAAATGCGTGTAAAAAATTTCACCCCCTAAAAATTCCATACCAAACTTTCGTTTCTTTCAGTATTTAATGTTGTTGTGTATGAACTGAATACCACACTCGACATAAAGATACCATTCTTTGAATTTACCATGGAAACAATTTTACAAACAAAATAGCGCTCAGCAAAAAAATGCTCATTTTTCTCAATTTCTAAAAGTCCTTTTAAAGGAACACATAGCAAGGCAAGAAGCAAAACAAACAGTGAAGCACATTGCATAATGTCTGATTCAAGCGAAACAATTCAGGAAATTGCTTTTAAGCTTATGCTTGAGCAAAATAAAAACGATAAAATTTTAAATGGAACTACTGAAAGGACGATTTTTGTTCTCGGATCTAAAGGAGTGGTACTTAGAGTTAATGAAAAATTTAAAAAGAACTGTTTCAGCATTTAAGCTCTTGTTTTCTTTTAGGGAAAATCAACAATGATCAATAATTTCCTTGATAGGAATGAGCCAATTAGGAACACGTTAGCACTCGAGTACTCGTATGCTCGGAGAACAAACTTGAGTGGCCAATCGAATCAGAAATTAGTTGGTAATATTTGGGAATTGGGAAGTTTAGCAAACTCAAGTCAATTGATAGATGTTCCGATTAAATCACACGGTCTTCATTATCTTTCTGTTGTCATAATGTTGAATTTATCAGAACCAAGTGAATTGCTTATAGATCTTGAGTCAGCATTGCAAGGATTGAAGCAGTCAATTGGAAATAATTATAGTGAATCGGAAATACGAGAATTTAGAGAGAAAGTTATTGAACGAGATTCTCATAAAGATCATCCAGACATAAACACTTTGGAAGTCATGCCATGTCAAACGGTTATTATTGGTGGAAAATACGATCTGTTTGAGAATTTAGACTCAGAAATTAGGAAGCACGTCGTGAAATTTCTACGATCAATTAGTCACACACTGGGCGCATCATTAATCTTTTATTCCATGAAAATTCCATCGCTTTCAAAGACTGTACGCGATGTTATGAGTAATCTTGCATTTAATTCTCCACAGCATCCAATTCGAGTACAAAAGACGGATTTTAATGAGCCAATTATGATCAGTGCATTTAATGATTCATGGGAAAAGCTTGTTGTTATGCCCAGCAATAGTGAGCGAATCGGCATCCAATTTAGTTCTCAAATTGAACAAAATCGAGAGAAGAAAGAGAATCAAGAGATGTCAGTTAATCCTGCGAATGATGTGAATTTCCGTGAAACTATAATCGATGACTTGAGGGCAATGAAGGATGATGAGCTTATAAGATTGATAAAAAATTCTGAAATTAAGCTCAAATTTGATTCCTTTAATCTTGCCAACAGCCCATTTAATTATCTCAACTAGATTTGTGTGCATGGATAAATAGGAATGAATATTGGCAAGAACGGTAGGTTGTATTTTAGAACAGGATATAAATTAAATAGGATTTTTGATTTTAGAACATAAACGATATTTTAAAAAAAAAATACAAAATATATCACTGTTGTTTGATTTTGTTGTATAATTTGAACCAAGTATCTAATCTAGTTATGAAGCTATGTTCGTATGTTGGATGTAGTATTTGGTGAAGGTGACTTTGAAATGTGCAGAACTTGCAAGTGGTACAAGTTGAATAGCAGTGCCTCCAGCTGAAAGGCTGGTTCGACATTATTATTATCTAATCAGAAACTTTAGATTGAATATTTGCTTTGAGCTGAAGTTCTAAACTTCCTTAACTAATTGTCACGAGTGGGAATCAAACACCAGTGGTTTTCCCACGTTTACAATTTTCGGTTGCATCTTCTTACAACTGAGCTATCGGGGTTTGATTCAAATTTTGTAAGAATGCCATCTTTAAATCTGTTTCTTTATTATCGATGAACCGTTAACACTAGAGATTACAACCTGTTTTTACACGGTTTTTATTGAGTTGCTCTGTTGGTTTCTTTGTATGTCACGTTCAAATCTTGCAATCGATTTTTCGACCACTTCTATTGCTCCAATCGAGCTCAAATTTTGTATACACACGTATTCCCGGTGACAATACAATATTTTAACACTTTGGAAACACAAAAATGCTTAATTATAGTACAATTTATGTAAAACTTTTTTATATGGGAAAAAATCCAATGTCAATGATATAAAATTTTGATTTGTATTAAATATTATACTTGTGATTCTCTAAAGTCATTTATATGATTCATTATAGTTTAATTAATATTACTAATTATTAATTATACCATAAATTTGAGCAGCTAAAGATATTCTGGTAAGACAAAAAAATTGACATGTAATTTTTTCATGAATATTCGTAAGTGAAAATTTGAATTTTCAAAAAAACCGTTAAGCACAAGTCCGTTACGAATTAATGCAAAATAACTATTAATATGCGGTGTGCATTTAGCAGGCATAGTTTAAGCATAAATTTATGCTGTTTTTAATGTATTAAATTGTTCATAACACTTCACCAATTTAATTAAATTGACTTTTCTATATATTAACGGCTTGACGTATTTTTGCATAACATATAAATGACATTCATTGAATTTAAATTTGAAAAATCCGTTATAAATACGTTATATATGTGATTTGCATCTTTATGTTAAGAATCCACACGTTATGTAATAGGAATGGTACGGATAAACACAAAATCTTTACGATTGATTTTTAATGTTCTTTACTCATGAATGTTTTAAAAACACAGAAAACGCACATAATTGAAGTTCAGGACATTTTTTTGAAGATTTTTATGTGTTTCCAGGTATGACTTAAATTATAAAAACGAATATAAAATTTTGACAGTCGTTGCTAATTACCCATTAAAAACTGGGAATATATTAACAGTTGAAAAAAACGGAGTGAAACGAAGTGAAGTTCAACACACCTGTAACCTATGAACCTACTGTAATCTATAATTTGAATTGTTGTGGTCGAAATTCGATTAAAAGATTGAGACTAAAAAGTAGCAAATAAAAAAACGTTAAAAAAAACTTTTTAAAAAACACGCTTTTATCAAAAAGATTAAAAACCAAAAACTTGAAAATAAAATAAGATCACACTTTTAGCGAATCAGGATTTTAAAAGTTTTCTTGTGACATCTAGAAATGTAACATAAATTTTTTCAAAATATTGTGATTAAGTCCAAGAACACAATGACTCGAAAAGCGTGGGGTAATTTAAGGATGAATTTCTTAGTTCAACTAAGTTCTTAAGTAAGAGAAGCGTCAAATCTTAAAGCCCCACGCTTTTAGAGTCATTGTGTTCTTGGACTTAATCACAATATTTTGAAAAAATTTATGTTACATTTCTAGATGTCACAAGAAAACTTTTAAAATCCTGATTCGCTAAAAGTGTGATCTTATTTTATTTTCAAGTTTTTGGTTTTTAATCTTTTTGATAAAAGCGTGTTTTTTAAAAAGTTTTTTGAAGATTCAAGTGGAAAACTTCATGTTCTAAAACCAAAATCTATTAAAAATTCTCAATTTAAATCAAGTACTAAAGCAAACTGTAACGGTTTTTTTTGATCCTCAACAGATCCATAGCTGTAAGGACAAAATAATAACATAACATGCAATAGGAAATTGGCGCGGAAAAAGAAATAAAAGCAAATTTTCCAGTGAGTAGGAAAAGTCGTGAGAGGATGAGAGAATTTGTGAGAGGAACTTATGCCTGTGTTAATGCGGTGGAAATAACAAAATAATAAAAAAAATCGTTGAGTTCAAAGTAGAATGATTAATCTTTATAGTAAATTAATTAAAATACAAAGTAATAAAATAAATAGAAATAATTGAACAATAAATTTCATGCTAATTATTTTTTAAGTCATTTCGAACGTTCTAGTCTCAAGATCACAAATGTCGATGAATCACCCTGCTCGCAAAAAAAAACCATGAAACTTCCAAAACTCTACCTATTGCGCAAAATCTACTAATTCTTCTCACAGTTCAATAATTTTTATACAGTACAATTTTTTTTTTCCTTCCACATACAGAAACACATACTTATTCACGTTTCTCATTTTCATTCATCGCCACAACTTTTCGGTGTTTAGTTTCTTTTTTCTCAATTCGACATATCGCGAAAAAAAATAATACTTGAAAAAATGAAGAAAGATTTCTGGTAAAATAATATAAATTTCAATTGATTGTGTACGAGTATATGGAGTAAGTCGAAGTCTATTTACTATTGAACCGTGAAATAAATTATGAAATGAAACAGATATTCAAATAATGAAAAACAGTCATAAAGTGTAGTCGAGAAGTTTTTCTAGTGACGAAGAAAAAAATATTTTATTTTATTTTCGTGTCGAAATTGCGAGTTGCTGTCAAGTTACGTGAGTTTTCAAAGTAAATTGTTGTGTAGTTTGATTGATAAAAAAAATAATAATAATTTGCAGTGAATCAGTGGAAATAATTAAAGATAAAAAAGTCTCAAATAATGTGTGATGAAATTGTGAGTTGAATCATATCCAATAAAAAGAACAGTGAAGTTGTGGATTATCAAATGATTATGTAAACATTCCTGATAGGAAAGGAATTTATTTTTTGTGTGTGGGTTGAACATTTTTTTTTCGAAGGATTTCCTCAATTTAGCAGAGAAAAGGTGAAATTCAGAGATCGTAAAAAATTTAATTATATTATTAAGGACATCCGGGACGGAAAATAATCTAAACGGTGAGCAAATCCAATCTAATAAATTTTATTTGTAATCATGCTCTCAATAATTTACACAACAACTTGATAATTCAATACAATATCTAATCAATCATCGAGGATATTATTAAATCTAATTCTAGCATTTTATTGACACAACAGTTCTAATTGAAAAGCTTTGTTGCTACATTGAATCGTTTATCTTTTAATTAGTATGAAATAGAGCTTTACTGGGAATGTTAACTGCTCTCTAGGTTGGATTTTAATTATTTATCAACAGAAAATTCTCTTGTGGTTTCTGTAAATTTAGCACCAAAAAAAGGATTTAAATTTGAAAACTTAATTTGGTAGAGGAATTGAATTTTCATAATGTTAATTGCAATATGTTCAAAATTCAGTAAATTTATAAAATTAAATTCTGCTAATTGTATTACAATAATTCGTGATAATGCAGGCTGATTCAAATTTATTCAGCTGGCTCTTTAGTATTTGGTTTACACAATGAAATTGAACTGGTTATAACCAGGGGCGTAGCCAGAATTTTTTTTTTTTTTGTCGGGCGGGTTTTGAAATTTTATTTTGTATGGACGGGAAAATTTTGGGGGTGTGTGGGATTTTTTTTTTCAAAAAACCCAAGTCGAGTCATAAAGAAGCTTGACTTGAGTGAACTTTTTCAGATAAAATCTGAGTCAACCTCAAGATCTGTTTATGATTAATTAAATTTGTATCATTTTCTTTCAAAATTACGTGTTTTTCAATATTTAACTTTAGTAGACTTATCATAATGTCTAATTAATTACAGGACGCTTAGTCTGATGACAAATTTTAAGGAAAGTTCCGAATTCAATGTCATTGGTCGACTCACATCTTGTTATTAACTTGACATCATGTTAAGTATTCACTTTGGTAAAGAATTGTTTATTTATAAGAGGGGTGGAATTATTATTATTTTAACCTTCATCGAATCTAATTTGGTTTTGCCTCTGGTTCAGTCAGAGTAGATAAAGTTTTTATAAAACTTATTTTGCTATTGTTCTTAATAGAATTTAGGTTATTATCTTGTTTTCATATTCTAAGCAAGGGTGTGCAACTGATCAAAAATATCAAAATTGATCAAAATCTAATTGATCAGTTCCGCACCCTTGGTTCTAAGTTACTGAATTATCAAAAAAAAAATAAGTTCATTACTTTGAAGGGTATTTGAGAAAAGTTAATCTTTTACTAAAATATAATTCATCAGTATGCACACTATGTAACAATCAATTGACTTGGTAACTGATTGATTAAATTATAATTAAATAACTAGAAGTTTTAAACCTTTGCTTTATTATCAAAAACAACAGATTTAATAATTGAAACTATCTCCTTCACACTTTGATGAGAATTCAAACAACGTTAAGTAGCTTAAACTACATCCAATCTCATTAAATCTGGCAAAAATTGTAAAACCCCAAATGAAATTGAAATATTCGTTCTATATTCAATTTAAGCTTTTGTTCAACTTCCAACGAAAAGCACTCTCTTTAAAAAATCATATAAATCTATTTGTACAAAAACTTTTAAAATAATCAAACAGCAAGTGTGTTTTATGATCAATTTCGATATCTTAATGATTTTATGGTTAAAACTTGATGCTCATCAAATAATAAAAGATCTTAGAAACTCTCATTCTATCCATCTTTAATTATACTTGTTTGTGCTGTATCTTTAAGGGTCATTCACAAAAGGTGTTCATTAAGTAAGTTTTAAAATCTTTATGGTTGCAAGATTTTTAATGTTGAAATGATGAGTGGGATAACGACACGAGCTGATTTTGGCTTCTTATACAAAACTGTACGAAATCCTGTTAGTGCCATAGAAAAGGAAAAATGATTGACGTCATTCGTGAACGAAATCTTACCTACAAAAGTTGATGCGAAAAGAAAAGAAATCAAAA